CTCCCCTCTTGAGTTGTGAGCCGCCCTGAGTCCCCCCAGGGAAAAGGGCGGCATATAAATTTAATAAAATACAAAAATACAAAAACAAGGTTCAGAAAAGACCCTCCCTAACTTCTTGGAATATATTTTCAGATTTGCAAGATTCTGTTAAAGTAATCTTACAATAAAGTGGAATTAGATGTTCTGGCTGGTCTACCTCACAAAGTTGACACTGGGTGACCTTGAGCCAGTTCCCTTCTCTCAGCCTTAAGAAGGAGGATGGCAAGAAGATGGCAAGTGTTGCTGAGAAAATTGAATGGACTTGTCCATATAGTTGCCAGGAATTAAGACTGACTGAAAGAACAGAGGCAAGACTTCTTAACTTTATATTACATGAATCTATATACCGTTTGGGTGTTCCTCTGAAGAGATAACCACTGATCTCTGCTCCATCCGGGAGTACTGAAGAATCATGGAAAAAACTTTTGTCCTGGATCTGCATCTGAAAAAGTTCTTCATCTCTAGTAGGTAGTTTCTGCATCCAAGAGCTAAGTGGTAGCAGAAGGAAGAGATAGAATATGGAGCATCTTATCAAGAGCATCCTAGAGAAATAAAAATGATACACGGTAAATCATATTGTAAAAGTGTTAGGGCTATTAAACCCAGAGAAAAACTAACTGAAGTGGTAGTATTGATAAGTTGATATTCCTGTCTTATCCAAACATCCCACCAAACTCTACTGATTTTTTCTTATCCCCATATCTTTCCATAGTCTCAAATTGGAATGTTTTAAGTTGGCTGCTCTGTGTACAAGAAACATTGAGCAGAGGATCATTAATAAATAGAAATCCCCCCACCTACATTCAAGATAGGCTTTTCAAAACAGAAAAGGGAGACTATAGGGAAATATTTTAATTTTTTAAAATATTTCCTTTAAAATTCTGCCATTTTTAAGACAAATACAGGTACTTCTTGATGTATAACTGTTGCTTAGCAGCTGTTCAATGTTATGACGGATCCCCAAAAGCTACTTATGACTCACTTTTGATGTTACAGTAGCTGCATGCAAATCCCATGGTCATATGATTGCACAGTGGACACTTGGCAACCAGCTCACCTTTATACTGCAATTTTCAATGTTTTTAGCTGGTTTCAGCATTTACTTCTGATTTCCAGGAAAAAAAAGTTTACTGGGTACAATTGATTCACTTAATAACCACAGTGTTCATTTTACACTTAACAAGTGCCATGTTTACTTAATGCAAAAAAGGTCACAAAATCAGTCACAGTTGTATGGCTTCTCCATTTTGGCTTTCTTTTGTAAAATAAATGATGACATGGTGTATTTTGTCATGTGTTGTTCGTCTGGGGATGTATTTACCTAATTTTAAGAACTGCTAAGGACCAGCTGATTCTTACTATCTCCTGATACACATAATCAAGGAACTCAAAGACAGTGTACTTTCTTTTTCACATGTCATGTCAATAGGATCATCTAAAGCTTTTCAGTAGGAGAACTTTTAACTGAAGGTTCAGATATAATGAAACATCCAGACCAGTGGTGGGATACGACCGGTAGGCCCCAGTACGGGCGTACCAGTGACTGCTAGGAGCACCAGGTACCATTCCGGTGTGATACTCCAGAGGTCCCACCCACCCGCCTGCTCTTACCGCTATTTGAGACAATCGGGGCATTTGCACATGCACACGGAGCACACAGCACCTGTGCGACACTCCGCCAAACAGCTGGAGTGTCGCAGGAAGTAGATATGCATGTGCATGCTCCACGCGTGCATGTGGTGGGCACATGGCCCCATTGCACCGTACCGGTTGCAACGGGATCCAGAACCCACCACTGATGCAGACTTACTGTAAATACAATTCTAGTATTTACATAAATATCAAAACAATCTGGTTTATATAGTAGTATGTCATAAATTTAAATATATTGCATAATAAATTAACCCAATCCTTCTAATGAGGAATTTTAAGAACTGTTTTTTATATTTCATCCATATTTTTTAAAAGGGATTTATTTATTTATTTATTTATTTCCCTTTA